TTACCAGGGATCCTTTTCACCCAGATACCAGAGACCCCCATCATTCAGACCAGGGCAGCAGCCAGACAGGTCCGACTTCGGGGATAGGAGCAGAAGGGGTGGTCAATCCAAGAGATCCTTTCGGGGAGCAGCAAACAGGTCCTTTCGACATCCAAGATAACTCCCTGGACCTGACCCCCATTGGCGGACGCCTTAAATTATTCGCGGACCAATGGGACTCCTCAACGTCTGATTCCTGGGTCAGAGACACGATTAGATTTGGCCTTGCGCTGGAGTTTCAATCCACTCCCCCAGATTTTTTCATGTCATGCCCTGCCCTGTTTCCAGAGATCCGGTTAAACGTAAATTTATGGAAACAGCTATCCAACATCTACTGGTCATACGAGCCATCCAGCCAGTAGCTACCAACCAATGAGGGCGAGGTTTCTATTCACATCTTTTTGTTTCTGTTATAATAACCACCATTTTGAATATGTGGCCCTTCCTTTCGGACTAGCTTCTGTCCCCAGGACCTTCACGAAGGTTCTCGCAGCGCTAGCTGCTCATCTCCCTGATATCCCCGTATGACTCCAGTGTTATCTTGATGACATCTTGATTTTGTCATTTTCTGCTCATCAAGCAGTCAAAGATACTCAGAACACATTACAATCCCTACAACAACACGGGTTCTCAATAAATTGGAAAAAAGAGTCATTTAACACCATCGACTTGGTTAACCCATCTGGGGGCAGTCATAGATATGGTGGAAGGCAAAGTTTACCTGTCACCAGATAGACTAAATAGCATTCAGCAATTAATCTAAGAGATCAGGGGTCTTAAGAGGGTGTCCCTAGCGGAACTATCAAAATTGTTAGGCAAGATGATCTCATGTATCTCTATCATCCCTTGGCCCCGGCTCCACACTAGATCCCCCCAGTGGTTCCTGCTCCCGTACCAGCGCACCGGCCGAAGCAACTCCAAATATAAGGTCAAGGTACCATCAAAGGTCCTCATATCTCTCCTCTGATGGACCAGACCAGCCTTACCATCACCACTGATGCCAGCCTGTTTGGATGGGGAGCGCACATTCAATAGCTTACAACCCATGGCTGCTGGTCTGCCATAGAACAGTCATGCAACATAAACTGGCTGGAGCTTCGAGCAGTACACCTGACTCTCCGCAGCTTCCTTCCACAGGTACACAATCAGCACATACTAATATTGACCGACAATGTAACAGCCAAAGCTCACATAAACAAACAGGGGGGCACACAGTCAAAACATCTCATGCGAGAAGCATAGCACTTGTGTCGTTGGGCGGAGAGCAACCTACTTTCCATCAGAGCAGAGCACATTTCGGGTCTGTCGAATACACAGGCAGACTGGCTGAGCAGGGCCACAATCGATCAATTGGAGTGATGCCTCCATCCGACCCTGTTTCAAGAGGCGGTCAGGACATTTGGACAGCCGGTGGTGGACCTGTTGGTTTCCCCCCTCAATGCTTAGCTCCCGAGATTTTTTCCAGGTATCCCTCGCAAGGAGTGAAGAACTTCAACTTGCTCCACTGTCGTTGGCCCCCAGGACTTCTGTATACATTCCCGCTACTTCCACTGGTTCCCAAGGTCATCCAGAAGCTGCTAGACGAGAGGGCGGAACTATTTCTAGTAACTCCTTACTGGCCCAGACAGCCATGGTTTGCAGACCTCCACAGTCTATCTGTATCAACACCATGGAGAATTCTGCCAGCCAGGGTCTCGCTAACCCAGGGACCCCTTCAACATCTGGACCCTCAATGGTTGCACCTGAATGTCTGGAGGTTGAGCGGAGTTGTCTGAAAAGCGAAAAGTTTTCCAACAGAGTTATCACCACTATCCAAGCCGCCAGACACCCCTCAACAACTCGCATTTACAATGCCACATGGTCCAGTTTCTGCAAATGGTGTACCGAGTCTCGAATTGATCCCATCTCTCCATCTGTGGCTGAAATCCTAGAGTTCTTGCAAGAGGGACCTGGCAAGGGATTATCACCTAATACGTTGAAAAGACAGGTGGTGGCCTTGGCATCAGTTCTCACTTGTGAAGGTCTGCTATCTCTTTCCCATCATCCACGCATACGGAGTTTCCTTCGACGAGCCACAAATTTACGCCCTCCAGTGGTACACCATTATCCCACCTCGGACCTTAACAAGGTCCTCGTCGCACTCACTAAGGGCCCTTTCGAACCCTTGAAATCGTCAAGTCTCCAATTTCTGATGTATAAAGTAGTTTTCCTTGTAGCAATCACTTCTGCTTGTCATATTTTGGAACTTGCAGCTTTGTCTGTCAAAGACAAGATCTTTGTGTTTTCCATTCTGACTGGGTGGTCCTTCGTCCTGATCCTATGTTGATACCCAAAATTAACTCGGTTTTTCATAGGGCACAAGAGCTGATACTTCCTAATTTTGGTCCCAGACCATCCCAAGGGTTGGAACTACAATGGCATAGGCTTGATGTGAGGCGAGTATTGCAAGTATATATTAACTGCACAGCGGCTTTCAGAAAAACGGAAGGCTTATTTGTGTCTTTTCAGCCCAACACTCAGGGATGCAAGGTCTCATCTTCTACAATAGGCCGTTGGCTACGGGCCGCAATAACGAAAACGTATCAGACTCAATTACTGCAGGTGCCCAGGGGCATAACAGCTCATTCAGCAAGGAGCGCCGCAACATTGGCAGCGTGGGCCACACAGGCACCAATAACTGAAATTTGTCAAGCCGCAACCTGGGCCTCTCCATCGCCATTCATTAGGCATTATAAAATAAATGTGTTTGCATCCGCTGAGGCCTCCTTTGGCAGAAGAGTTCTTCAACGGGTCCACAGGGACCAGGAGGAGATTCCAGGCCAGACGGAGTCCCTCCCGTAGGACAGGCCAAGCTTTGGTATGTCCCACTACTGGAGCCTCTGAACAGCTCATGGGAGAAAGGGTGTTGGTACTTATCTGACACGCTCGTTCTCTTTGAGCTGTGAAAAGCATCCAGCCCCACCCTTTTTTCCATCTGGTGGGGTCCTGTTTCGACCAACGAATTTGTTAGGGGACTGAGGACGAGGGCGGTTATTTCTCCCATCTTCGCCAAAACTGGGGAACGCTGGGGAGGAGTCCCGTGGAGGAGGAGGAGCGTTTCACAAATTAAGCCCAGCCTAGACATGCAGAGACTGAAGCACCTCCCCACTACTGGATGCTCTTCACAGCTCAAAGAGAACGGGTGTGTCAGGTAAGTACCAACGCCCTGTCTGTCTTGCATGAATGGCAGCAACTACGTGATATGCCTTGCAGTGTCCTGCAGCGAGTGGTGCCACTGGTGCCACAAGCTATGCGCAGCACTGGCACAATGCACCACATAGCACCATGCCATGAGCAGCAGCGCTGGCGCAATGCACCACATGGCATCTGATCACAAGCAGCCACAGAAGAAGTCAGGCAGTGTCGCAACAGGTGTCGGAGCGTAGGCACAGGTGTGAAAATCAGGCTACGGCTTGTTTTAAGTATAAGTTGTGTTTTTGGAGAAACATGGTAGTATGGTCATGTGATGTCTCACTTTATGACTGCATTGTGTAGCATTGGAAATTCCGGTCCTAGCTACTCTCATTTCTCAAGGACTACCTGTTCTTAAATAATTTGAACATAGAATAATAGGGTTCAAAGGAACATTGGAGCTCTTCCAGTCCAATTCCTATTGAATTTCATGTTACTGTCTAATAGAATTGAAACAGAAGTATGCAAGTGCGTACAAGAGGAGCAAATTTGGGGGGGAGGTAAATTGAAAGCATCTTTTTGCTTTTAAACCCCCTTCCCCACCTGCAATTTTGATCCCACCTGCAATTTTGATCCCACCTGCTCTACACTTTGCAAAGGTGCTTCTACTGAGAGTTGGTTACCTTTTTAATGCTTTTAAATCTATGATCTGCCTAGCAATAGTCATCGCATGTAGAGCTTGAAAGTAGCTTGGAGCAGTGTTTCTCAGCCATGTCAACTTTAAGAGGGGCGGACTTCAACTCCCAGAATTCCCCTGCCAGCCCCTCTTAAAATTGCAAGTTTGAGAAACACCAGCTTGGAGTATTTCTGTAGATAGACAAGCCTTTGAGTTTGTCCTACTGTGTAGGCTGACCAACTACTGAAGGTGTGGTTCTTGCAGTTCTTGTCTTTCTGTTGTGAATACGTTTTCCTAGTGATCATTGTGTACTAATGAGTTATTGTAAATCACCCTGGGGATATTAAATTGGAGAGCCAAATAAAAATATTACCTGGCACAAGGAAGAATTAAATTTTTCGGCACTATTTCCTTTTATGATTGAAGATGCTGCAGAAATGGGTCTTGGGGTGTGAAGTCCAACCTGAAGCCGATTGCATAAGTCCTCTGTATTATGACCCAGTTTATATTCTGAATCATGAAGTGGTGCAGCTGGAAAAAGGCCATTTGGGGCATTGTGTTCTGCTTTGTATTTGGTGTAGGATTTCAAATTACAGCATCTGCAGTGTCGAGCCTCTTCTTCAACAGACAATAAAAGAGGGAGTCCAACTGTGGATCAGTTGTTCCCATGGCAGAATTTTTCCCGAACACCTAATGAATCTCTTCCTTCTTTGTCTCTGAGTCTGGAAAGGTAGCAAATAGGCCGTAACTTTCTTCTCCATGGCAGCCTTTAAGGTATTTGAGGCAACTCCCCTATCCCTTCCACTCCTCTGGTCTTCTCAAGGTGTAACCTTTGCAGCCCCATCAATTTTCCTGGAACGTGGACATTCTTGTAGCCCATCTGTTCCAGCAATAGTGTGTTTAGTTCTCGTGGGATGCCTGTGTTTGGAGTCATGGTGTCTGGCAAACGGGTGAATGTTGAGTAGCTGAGCAAATAGACAAGTTAGATATTGCGACTGGTGCTTTGAGGCTTATTCTGAATTTTCAATAAAACTTTTGCCCAGTTTTGGAATGATCAAATTTTAAATTGTAGTGGTTCATTATTGTAATATGCTGTGTCTCACTTGCCTTTCAGGGCTTACTCCCTTGTGGACTCCAGTCAAGTATCCACGTTCCTAATTTCTATTCTTCTCATTGTTTACGGCAGCTTCAGGTAAGGTCATTGGCTTTGGTCTGTTGCTACTCCTCCTCCTCCCCAGCATGGCTACAAACTTAGCAGCTCTGCTCGCCATGTATACATTAGAGCCCAGGAGGAAATTCTTTCAAGTAGGAATGTACTGTATATTGATGCTATTTCCCTGAAATGTAGAATTGCAAAGCAGGCCAGAACTGAAGAACAGGTTATTTAACATATAATTGTTCCTGGAAGCTTTCATGGAATATGGGTGTGTGTGTGTGTGTGTGTGTGTGTGTGTGTGTGTGTGTGTGTTTGTATGTATGTATATGTATATCCCAAGAGAAAAATCTTCCAGATGCCCCAAACTATACGGCCTCCCAAAAATACACGAAGAAGGCATACCTCTCAGACCCATAGTCAGCTCCAGAGGAGCACCACTACAAAACCTAGCCAAAGCAGCTACAGCCCCATGCTGAAGCAGCAGCTTCACATGTTCAAAACTCATACCACCTCTTGGAAATTATCAAAGATCTACACATGGAACAAGAAGATCTGCTTGTAAGTTTCGATGTGGTTTCACTATTCACTCAAGTCCCAATAAAAGAAACTCTCGAAATCATCAAAAATAAATACCAACCACTCCAACACCTCACGGAACTAACAGAATACTGCTTAGCCAACACATATTTCATATACGAAGGACAAAGATACAAGCAAATTGAAAGAGCCTATATGGGAACACCAGTGTCACCCATCATTGCAAACCTATTCATGGAAGAATTCGAATCCAGAGCCCTAGCCAATGCCACCCATAAACCCAAACTATGGCTAAGATACATCGATGACACATTTGTTATTTGGCCCCATGGAAAAGAAAACCTAAACAATTTCCTAACACACCTAAACAGCACATACCCCAAAATCAAATTCACCATGGAAATGGAAACAAACAAACAACTACCATTCCTAGATGTACTAATCTACAAAAAAACAGATGGCACACTAGGACACACCTTATACCAGAAGAAAACACACACCATCCGATACCTCAACGCCCAATCCCACCACCACCCAGCACAGATAAACTCCGTGGCCAAAACACTAATTGCCAGAACCAAACGCCTGGCAGACAAAACACACATAAAGACTGAACTATGCACCCTGACTAAAATACTGACAGCCAGCGGCTTCCATAAAAGCAAAATCACCAGCTTGATCCACAAAAACACACTGAGACATAGTGGAGACCTAGAATATGAACAGACCTATGGAACAGCTGTCCTGCCCTCATAAGAGGTACTACAGACAAAATCAGTAAGATACTACACAGGCATCACATCAAGACTGCCTTCAAAACAGACAGAAAAATAGCAGCCATCCTAAGAAACCCCAAAGATAAAATTGACCTGGAAAACCAGGGCATATATGAAGTCCCCTGTGCATCATGCCCTGTCACATACATTGGACAGACCAATAGAAGAATAAGTACCCGCCTAGATGAACACAAAAATGCAGTAAAAAAGCTAGAACACACTTCCTCACTACTACAACACATGAAAGCCACAGGTCATAGCATCGACTTGAATGGCACCAAAACCCTAGCCACTATAGAAAACCCCAGCTACAGAATTATCAGAGAAGCCATAGAGATTGAAAAAAGACCTGAAAGCATGAATGACTCCACCAGGCTGTCAATTATCTGGAAGCCCGCACTCTCAAACAAAAAAATCTCCACACCACAAGCTAAGCAAACACCTGGCACAAACAGACTCCCCCGATACCTCCAGCTCAAACACACCCCAACCAGGCACCCAGATGAAACCTAGCTTCCTATAAATGATGGCCGTCCTTTTACTTGAAGCCAAGCTGCACTAAAAGCCTCCAATACAGGTTGCCAGCCAATCAAGACAAAAAAGCTACAAAACAGACAGAAGATATTAGAAACACCAATCAAGCAGAACGCAGCAAACTCCAAGACCAATAAACACAGACCAAGACTCCCAACCAATCAGGAAGAAGAAAAAAATCATTCTAACACAGTAGTAGGCTAGCCCCAAATTTAAAACAGAAAAGGCTGTGAAAGCCTGACTCACAGATGAACACAACACAGAAGCCTGATGATGGCAGATGAGATTCTGCCGAAACGTTGCTACAACTTTAAAAGCACAACTATAGAAGGCAGATAGACACACAGCCAATACCTCAGCCACACATGTTCTCATGAAAAAGCCAGCCAATCTGCAAACATCAACTCCATCAACCGATCAAGAAATGACAACAGAGCCAACCTCCCCACCAGTATATATATAGGGAGACAGCAGCTCCGATCATGGTTTGCTTGCACAAGCCCGAAGCTGAAAGCACCAGCCTGAAGATGGCGAGTGGGACCTCGTTGAAACTTTGCCAAGATGCTTTATATTTATAAAGGTTGTGAAGAAGTAATTGCTTTTAGAGTGACTTATTTAAAGGTGAAAATTGAAGCATTTGTCAATTTATTCTTATGGCTCATTTTAATCCAACTTGCAATAAAAATTGCAATCTGGCTCTTTTATCTGAAACACGCCGGATAATTCAGGGAAAGAGCAACACATTCCTTGAATTTCTAAAAAAAATAAGCAAAAGCTCCAGAACTATTACAGAAGCCTGGGAAATCTAAAAATAGCACAGTATTGTGCAGTAGCTGCTCTTGTTCAGTATTGTTTTTGTTAAATTCACAGAGATTAGATTCTTTGGGGAAGAATTGAAATGTTCTAAAATTGCTATTTTTGTTGTACTGAAGAGAAGGAAGCTTATAGGGAAGATAGGTGGGTGGGTAGGTAGGTAGATAATTTATTATTAATTAGTTTTATGGTCTGTTTAAAAAATAAAAAATAAAGATTAAACACAAATTAGGTTTCCCAAATAAAATAGGTAAAAGCAAATACAATAATAAAATACGTGCTAAATACAAAGAATCAACATTCAAATATTTAATTTAATATAGTTTAAATGCTGCCCATCTTACTCTACAAAGCGACATCACTTTTACATGATACCCCAATCTATTTTGTTTTTATTTTATTTATCAAATTTAGAAACCGCCCATCTCCCTTACAGAGGACCCCAGGAAGCGTTCGAGTAAAATATTAAATCCTAAAAAACAGTATATACTCTGGTCTGTTCATTACAACGCGTTCTTAGCTGAAAGGCCTTGTCTATAAACTTAGCAGTTCTGCTCACAGTGCATACAACATTAGAGCAGGGGTCGCCAACCTTTTGGACCTCAGGGACCACCGAACTCATAATTTTGGGACCACTAACATAAATCCAGCATACTGCTCACTGAAGCGCCTGGACTCCCACTGACAGAATGGGGTCCTTCAGGCACTTAGCTTGACTGCCTGTTTCTGCAACTTTGGAGCCATTTCCCACAGAAAACCAAACACCAGGCTCTCTCCTCCTCCTTTCTCTCTCATCTCCCTCTCTCTTTTTCTGTCCTCCCTCTCCCTCCCTTTCTCCCTCTTTCTCTCTCTCTCTCTCTCACATCTCTCTCCCTCCCCCTCTCTTACCCCTTTCTCCTTCTCTCTTTCCCCCCTCTCTTTCTCTTTCTCTCTCCCCCACATCTTTCTCTCTTTCTTCCTCTCTTTCTCTCCCTCCCTCACCCTTTCTCTCTCTTTCTTTCTCTTTCCCTCCCTCTCCTTTTCTCCCTCTTTATCTCTCTCATCTCTCTCCTTCCCCCTCTCTTTCTCCCTTTCTCCCTCTTTCTCTCCCTCTCCTTTTCTCCCACTTTCTCTTTCTATCTCTTCCCCCTCTTTTTCTCCCTTTCTCCCTCTTTCTCTCTCTCTTTCCCTCCCCCTCTCCCTTTCTCCCTCTCCTTCCCCCTCTCTTATCCCTTTCTCCCTCTTTCTCTTTCCCTCCCTTCCCCTCTCTCTTTCTCCCTTTCTCTTTCTCTCTTCCCCCCTCTCTTTCTTTCTTTCCCCGTCTCTCTCTCTCTCTTTCCCTCCCTCCCTCCCTCTCTCTTTCTGCCTTTCTCCCTCTTTCTGATGTCTGGAGGCCAATGAGCCACATGCTGAAGACCAGATGGCTGGCGGGGAGGTGTGGCAACAGGGTTGATGCAGGCAGCGGATGGACTCATATGCACGGGAGATCAGGGCCTTGGAATCCTTCCCAGGTGTGCACTGGCCTGCGAGGGGGCGGGGGGGGAAGGAACCTCAGAACTGGTGTTGCCTCCTGCCTCACGTATCGAGGAGGAAGAGGGGGTCGAGCCTCCCCCTCGCAACATCTTCACCTGAGAGCATCGCTGTCAGCCGCTTCCTGCAGCTCAGGAGATCTGCGCTCCTCCCGCTGCGGCTCGGCCTCCTCGGTGGACTGAGGCAGGAGGCAGCAGCCATGACATGGGTTTGCTAGGGAGGACTGCAGGGTTGCTCCACCTCCCTGCCAGCCATTTGGTCTTCAGCATGCTGTGGCCCACCCAAATTTTCTCATGGACCACCAGTGAGCTGCGGCCCACCGGTTGGTGACCACTGATTTATATGTTGCCCGTCTTGCAGTTTGAGGTAATTTGGGGTGGCTAATCTTGGGGGAGCGCAAGCCTTTTGCAGCTGCGTAAGGACTCTAAGCTAAGCCCATGCTTGACTCTCTCCTTCCAGCCTAGCTGGCAATTTCCCCACAGTCAGTAAACTAACCTGGCTTCCCTCATTGACTTTGCTTGTCGCCAGCTGGCTGGGAAGGTCACAAGTGGTGATCACATGGCCCCAGAACACTGCAACAGTCATAAATACATGCTCATTGCCAAGTACCCAAATTCTCATCATGTTGTCATGGGAAGCGGTGATGGTCGTAAGTGTGTGAACCAATTGTAAGTCACTTTTGGTGCTGTGGTAGCATTTCTAAGTCACTAAATGAATAGTTGTAAGTTAAGGACTCCCTGTAATAGACAGACTCCCTGTACTGGAAACTGTTGCAGTGGAACAGATACTGACCAGGGAAAAGAACTCTGCCGCTATTCTTTGCATGGGGCTGAAGAAGAAAAGGGCTCAGAGGTGCTTGAAATTCAAGTCTGTGAACAACTTCAGAGACTTTTATAAGGCAACAACTTGGTCAGTGTCTTTTTCCTTCATGAGTCATTAGAGAAGATCCCATTCAATGGATGTCCAGTTTGATTTGATACTACATCTTAATTGTAAACTCCAGTTTAGCAGTAAAAATGAACTATGTGCATATAAGGGCCAAATATTTAAGAACAGATAAGATGAGCTTGTGTTGCAAGTGCCCTGAGAGGAAGGATATTTTTTATTAATGTTGCTCAGCTGCAGAATGATCTCCCTAGGAATGTACAGCTGGTCCTAACTAAATCTGAAAATTGAAATTGGCTTCATATTGATTTTATAAGCTATTATAATTGATATTGTAATAATATTTTATTGTTTTGCTTCTCTTTCTATACAGCAAAACTAGAAAAAAATGCCTTTGGAAGAATGCAAAACTTTAATAAAAGCAAAATTGACTCTTGTGCATAAGGTTGTTTTAATGAATCGTGTTGCTAAGTTTTGATTCTGTGATTGCTGGCATTTACATTGCTAAAATTTCATAATTTTCTGCATAATTGATTTTTGTTAATACATCTACTATTTGTGTAAGATGCTTAGAAAATTCTACCAAAAATTGGGTACAAATGATAAAAAGCATGTTTTGATTGCACTGATATTCCATTTAAAGACATCAAAGTTCTGGCCCTTCCAAATGTAAAGCAGGTATTTTGCCTGTGCTTGTTTTCTGCAGGTCCCTGAACATGGACTTTGAGAACCAAGACAAGGAAAAGGACAGCAGCAACTCGGCTGGACCCTTCAATGGCGGTAGCACCAATAACAGTAAGAGGCTTCCTTCAAAGGCCAGCTTTCATGACAGTGCTACTTTTGGGGGTAGACTGTGACTAGCACTGGATGCTTCCCACAGCTGGCCAATCTAGCTTTCAGTGTAGCCCTGCTGGAAGAAATGGGACTGAGGCCCTTTCTGCAAAACTGTTGGGATGTTTAAAAATAGTCTGTTAATGGAAAGGGGTGGGGCTTTCCCCCATAGGAATTAAGGTTAGGCTCCACCCCCAAGGTATTGTCTTCCAAAGGAGCCTTCAATTTTACCGAGCTCTACAAAAAGTATATTAAAAAGAAAAGTTCTCTGGAATGGTTTGCCCAAAGTGAAAAACAGACCCTGCAATGTCATAAAACAAGGACTAGCTTAGTTAAATGTTTCTTTTTAAATAGTGCTGGAATATGCAAGATACAAAAATGAGCTTATTTGTGGAAAGGGGGAAATTAATAAAAGGAAGGCAACAATGACAAACTCCAAATAAAAGTCAGAAGTAAAGTTAGTGGATAGCTAATCACAGGTTGTGTAAGGTTCGGCCTCTGCAGAAGCAGCCACAGTGCCAGTGAGTCCTAGAACCTCCCGATGAGATGTTTTTAGGAGGATCCGGACTCTGAGTTAAGCCATTTGGGATTGTGAGATCAGTGAAAGCTTATCTCTTAGTCCTATGGGGAGAGTAACTTGTTTGTTCAGTTCTGTCATCTGCTTCTTGTGTTAGTGGTCTAGACAGTAAATCTTAAAATTATTCCATGGTTGGGGCCACCTATAATACATGACACATTTCAGGAGCATGTTGAGGAATTAAAATGAAATGGAGCCTACTCAGATTACCTTGCATGAGCTAGAAATGTAGAACAATATCCATATTTTATAAATCTTTCACTATCTTTCCTTGCAATAATTATATTTGCCCTACACTAATACAATCAATCTAAAATTATACAATTCTAATATATGTTAATAATGGTTATTTCATTTTGAAGTAGCAGTGCTGTTGTCTATAAAATATAGATGAAACACTTTTAAGAAAATTAACCTGATCTTGGAAGTTACAAGTAGTACAATACAATACATCTGCCCCCTCCTTCTTATGTCAACTCGGGAACAGGCATAAGAATGTACGAGTTGACAGCATCTTTACTTTGAAGAAAGGCATATAAAATATAGTGGGATTCATTCCATTTTTAATATTTTTAGTTTAAGAGGTGTTGGTGGTATATAAGTAGGTTAGTGCAAAGTATTGAACTGTATCCTAATAAGCTATGAGCTTTTAGTTTTTTAATTATTAGAATTTTATATAAAAGCATTGAAACTACAAGATTAACAATTAACACATTAGAATAAAAATAATAATGGACTTCAGATAATTGAATGGAGAAGAGACTGAATTGTGACAACCACTTTAAACCCTACCCTTCAGAACGGTCATTCAGTTTCAGCTTTCCAGATATACATTATTCTTGAGGACAAAATATTTTAATTGATTCTGAATTTATTTCAAAGTGAACAAAATCTTCTCAGGCTGGATTAAAAAGCCAATTAGCCAAAGCAGATTTAATTAATGATCCCAGTGATAAACTTCATAGTGCAAATGATCACTGTAAATGAAGTTTACAAGAATGGTCATAAAATCAGGTCATAATAAGAGGAGTCAGTTAACGATCACATTGCTTAGTGACTGAAATTCTGGTCCCGATTGTAGCCATAACTCAAGGACTATATTATACTTCTTGTTTTTCTCCTCTTCTGAACGTTTCCTATTTGCAATTTAAAAATGTGTGTATCTAGCCTGTCACTTTAGCTTTATTTCTTTGTGTGGCACCAAGAGGATCTAGGCTGATGCCCTTGTAGCTGGGGCTGTTGTGTGATGCCAAATAATTGTTACTTTTCCTCCTGCCCTGCAGGTATCCAGACCATTGATTCGACACAGGCGCTTTTCCTGCCCATTGGGGCATCCGTGTCTCTCCTGGTTATGTTCTTCTTCTTTGACTCGGTTCAGGTGGTTTTTACAATATGCACAGCAGGTGAGGCTGGTGGTCTCAAGGAGGGGTCTCCCAGTTGTTTCACGATTGTAAACTGGAAGTCCTCATCAAGAAATACAGTGCTAGTGGCAGAAATTGAGAAACTTATTTTATTTTATTGATTTTTATTTTATTTTATTTTTTAATTAAGGGCATTTAAATGGTTTCCCAAATCACTCACAGTGACTTCATACATCTTAAAGAAATAAAATCCCAATAAACCTCCACCCACCTCTGGTGACAATAGTCAAACCAACCAGTTGATGGATTCTGGGTCCCCAGGCTTGTTGGCAAAATCATGCTTTTTTTCACCCTTGGGGTTCCAAGGAACAGTTTGAAAAATCTAGTCTAATGTTTGCCAAAGGGCCTTGTGTGTGTACCAAGAGGGCTGAATAAAAGGTATTTACTTTGTCAACCCTAGTCAGCATGACCAGAAGTGAGTTGCATGCTGGGAGTTGTAGCATAAACTATTTGGGCACAACCAAATTGTCAACCCTTGATTTGGAAATACGTAACACAGCAGTCATTCCCCCCTATCCCCCAACACACCAAATGCCTGATCTCACCTATTTCGGCTATTTTTAAAATCATTTTACGTTTCTTATGCTTCGCTTGTTTTTATGCTGCTTTTTATACATTGCATTGGTTCTCTTTTACCTTTTTAGGGTAGTAATATTTTTTTTTTTTTGGTAAACCACCATAAAATTGAAGGGTGGCCATAAACCTGTAGAATAAAACAGTTAAAATGAAATAACAGTACAACATAATCCGCTGGGAAGCTCTTTTTCCAAAACGATATTTAAGCGGTTAGAAACGCCGCAAGAGCCTCAGGTGCCGATTTCTTTCAGTGAGGCTGCGGAGAAGAACTCGGAAGATGAGAGTCCAGATGTGCTGCTGATGTTGCTAAACTTTCCCAGTTGTATCTTCGTCAGCCCGAGTCTGTGGGCTGAAACTTGGGCTCTGTCACAAAAAGGCAGCCTCTGGTATACTGCGCCCAGTTTTTTGTCTTCTGCCAAATGTCATAGACACATCTCCATTTCAGAAAGTATTTGTTTCGTGGGTCTAAAGTATTGGATAGCAATCAACGAGGATACTGATACGTTCTTCAAGAGCAAGACTCTTGAAAACAAAATCGCCTGAGTTCATGGCGGACGTCTGCTTTTCTTGGATTTTTTTGATTTTTTTGTTTGCAATAATGACATTTCCCCCCTTTTTTCTATTTCTCCGCAGTCCTTGCAACAATAGCCTTTGCTTTCCTCCTGCTCCCAATGTGCCAGTATTTAACACGACCTTGTTCACCTCAAAACAAGTAAGAAGGAAGTTTGCTCGTTTTCTGTGTCATTAAGAGATCCTGTTGGACTGGTGGTGAAATAGCTTTTAGCAGTGAGTTCTGCAAGGCTTTTCATGCGTGCAGAGAAGGTACCATGTGCAATCTTTTCTGGCCTCAGACAAGAAAACCCAAATTCCCTTTTCCCTGGAAATGTGGAGCAGTGCTGGTGCCCAGGTAATACCGAAACACAAGGGGTCCTTGGTGCTCTCTGAGCTGGGTCGTTTTCTTGCAGATGTTTTGTTACCCACATTAGGTCGCGTCTACTTGATCCTAGACAAAAGAGACCAAACACCTCCTCACCAGCAATCAGTATCCAGATGAGCATCGATTGACACTAATGTTAACATCAGATCAACAATCAAGTACACAATCCTCCAATCAAGAAACTGCCAAATAACAGTAACAGTGAACCGTCTAACCAAAGAACCTCCAAGATCACTTCCACCCACACTGATAAGACAAGCCACAAGAATATGAATTGAGAACAAACCTCACACTTTGCTATCACTGAAGATGTTACCTAGTTTGGGTAATGAAACGTCTGCAAGAAAACTCAGAGGCACCAAGGACCTTTCATTTCAACCCTGAGCTACAAATATTCTCCTTTATCAATACTGAAACAGTGTTGTAACAATACTGTCTGTCTGTCTATCTGTCTGTTAATCATATGCTGGTCCAATCCACAACATTGTTGTGTAAAAATGTCTTTATATAACAATTTTACAGTGTGACAGCATAAGTAAAAAATGGTTAACTACTCAAATAAAACATGGCCAGACATCAAAGGCCTCCTTAAAGGAGAAGGAGCTTTCTGGAGTCCAGGGTAAAGAGATGAACATGCCTGGGGGGCATACTTAGTCGTGGGGCCACAACCCCAAAGCCCCTCTTCTCTCCACCCCACCTCCATGTCACAAACAGACCCTCTCCTTGTGATGGAGCATCTTCTGTGGGTTGCCATGCCTTTAGGGAGAGAATGACGGCTCCAGTTCTTCACCATCATTTCGCTTTGGCTTTTTTCAATTTGGGCAGGGACATGGGAAAAAACTCCCCCAGTATACAAGATCGATTGAATCCATGCTCTCCTCTGAAGTCTAGACTCTGAAATCTAGTCTAGGGAAGAGAAGGACCAGGGGAGACAGGAGAGCAGTCTTCCAGTATTTGAGGGGCTGCCACAGAGAGGAGGAGGGGGGTCAAGCTGTTTTCCAAAGCACCCGAAGGCCAGACAAGGAATAAAGGATGGAAACTGATCAAGGAGAGATTTAACCTGGAAATAAGGAGAAACTTTCTGATAGTGAGGACAATCAACCAAGGGAACAGAAGTTGCCCTCGGAAGTTGTGGGAGCGCCTTCACTTGAGACTTTCAAGAAGAGATTGGACTGCCATTTGTCAGAAATGGTGTAGGGTCTCCTTGGGTGCACGGTTGGACTAGATGACCTACAAGGTCCCTTCCAACTCTCATTATCTCTTATCTGATTATCTGTTATTTGGATAGAATTTAGATCTGTTCGCTGCTTTGGATTATTTATAAAGATAATGAAAATGAGATACCATCCTGAAGTGGGAGATGCATGATATATTCTCTGGCCCTACTTAATAAAGCTACAAATATTCTCCAAGAGAAAAACGGTCAGGGATGGCATCTTTGAAATTTCCTTTTATGTTGGGAGCACATGGAGCCAGCCCCCTTTCATAGAAACGGCCACTAGCATGCTTCCTCATCTGCACAGCTAATAGGCGCAACCCTTATTCACTCAGGACTTGTTAAGTTAGCAATAACAACAGCGCTTAGACTTACTATACCGTTTCATAGTGCTTTACAGCAGGGGTCCCCAACCCACAGCTCACGGCCCACCTGAGTCTTTCAGAACCGGGCCATGGAAGTGGTGGGCAAGTGTGCGTGCATCCTCACTCACGCGCACACTCCATTTGCACGAACGGGTGTGTGTGCCTGCCACTCATGCAAATGGAGCTGCGTGCGTGTGCTTGCCCACCACGTATACAGAACCATCCCCTTTCCTCCTCCCCCACCAGCCTTTGACCCCCAACAATCTGGGTCCTCAGTGTACCAACTTCAGAGGGATGGAAAGCTGAGTCAGCCGTGAGCCATTGGCATTGAACTCCTGGCTATGGACAGAGTCAGTCTGCAATGCTGTATTCTAACCATTGCACCATCAGGGCTCCTAAAGTTACTGTGCAAGTCAGTTCTGTATTAGTATTTTTGCACAATAATTCTTCCATTGCTTACATACAGGGGTGGGGAACTTTGGTCCTTTTATGACTTGTGGACCAATTCCCAGAATGACTTGTGGACATCAACTTGTGGACTTCAATTCCCATGCTGGCTAAGGAATTCTGGGAGTTGAAGTCCACAAGTCATAAAGAAGCCATGGTTTCCCCACCTCTGGCTTATAACGTAGCCAATTGTGCACTATGTGCAACACTGCTAGAATTGATATCCAGTTAATATTAATTCGGTTAAAACAGTCTGTTTTTATCTTGATCTTAGCAGCCAACAATGTATATCTGTCATTTTATGCTTTTTAAAGTAATGCATAATTAATTTTTAAATTTGGTTACATATCTAAGTAAGTCACATGATTTTCAATAAACTGTACAGAGGTTTTCAGAGTTTAGAATTTATATTTATTTATAGCTGTTAGTTACTTTATTCCTATTTTATTATAGTAATACATAGATTTTAGATTCACAGTTACTCACTTGAACTTTGTGATTAATTGTGTTACTCACTTTGTAACTTGTATTCTCATAGATATTTTATGGCAAATATATTTTGTTACTAACAATTAGCTCAGTGGGTACAACATCAATTTTGTGATTAATTTTGTATTGTTTAGTTTATATCTGGTTGAAAACAAATAATTCAAGAGAATTGTAGTAGAAAAGAACGTTTCCAAATTAGTTTAGTAATTTTAATCAGAGTTTTGGGTTTGTTTGTTTTTTAAATTGTACTTTGCTTTAGAATGCAGGTATGGCACCATTATATGATCATATTTGTGACACCTTCTGAAAGGCAGAAATCGAATGGCTGATCCAAAATAAGCTTTTGTGGTTCCCCTTAGTGCTTTTTGGAGGACCGATCTTTCTGAGGGACCCTTTTCTAATGCTCCAGTGCGCTTGTTGGAGTCCATAGAAAGAGAGTTGGAGATGTTTTCTCTCCTTTTGTTGAGAGGATCTTAAACTTGTGCACATATTTTCCAGGATTTCCTTTGGATGCTGTGGGCGTTTCACTGCTGCAGAGCTGCTCTCTTTCTCGCTCTCCGTGATGCTCGTCCTGATCTGGGTCTTAACTGGGCACTGGCTTCTCATGGATGGTAAGTGCAGAAGATGCAAATGAGGAGGGACGAAGTTCACCTTCCTGAATTCCCCCCCAAAGGCCCCACCTTTCTCGTGGAATGGAGTATTTTATATGGCATTCATTCCTGGATTGGAGTAAATCCCTTGGGTTCAAAGAACTTCAGAATCCTTGCACAGACTTGCCTTCGCTTGTTTTGTTTGCTTGTTCTACATTAGGTTCAATGGGCCACCTAGATCCGCATTTCTCAACTTCAGAAACTTTAAGATATCTGGACTTCAATTCCCAGCCTTCCCCAGACTTGCTTGTCTGAAGAATTCTGGGCAGGTGTTGAAATCCACATACCTTAAAGTTGCAGAGGTTGAGAAACGCTGATCTAGAGATATGCAGGTGCTTTGAATCCAACCTATTTCAAACTTGAAATGCCCCAATTCAGCTCTTTCAAGAAGGAACCGGGTTGCTTGTCTCATTCTGAAAGTATTTCAAAGACAGGCCTGTTTTGAGTCTGAGACATGTATTCTGAACTCAGAATACTTGCAGACTTTTTAAAGAAAGGATGCTTTTAATCTGAAACACTTCTAATATTGACCAAAGAAACAGCCCCTGGATTACTAGAGGCAGAGGGGCAGCAAGTGCCCTTCTAGCTTAGGCAGGCAAAAGTCGCCGTGTTTGCAGTACATGGGCTTCATTCTTCATTTTTAGACTAGAAAGAGGAAGCATCCTTACATTTTCAATGCAGGAACAGCCATGGCTCGGCTTTTAGAAAGCATTTGGTGACTTTGTGTTCCAAACAGGTTTTGGATTTTCAGTTAGTTCTAACTTGAACTTGGGTACAAGTGGTATCCTGGTGATTGATTTTCAGTTATCAGAATCACCCATACCTAGTCTTCTTTCTCTTCTCCGGGCCCAACACGAGGAACAAGCGGGCCCCATGGGAAGATGGTTCTTCATTGCTTAACTGCCGTATTTCAGCTAGCTAGTAAAATTGTTTTTATAGCAAATAGTTTGGAAGGGGTTGTGGTATAACATTCCTTGGGGGGTTGGTTCTTTATCAGTTCCACAGCCTGGTTCTTTCATCAGAGAATGAAGAATTTCAGGCATGGAGAGCTACCCACTCTTTCTCCTGTGTAAATACCGCTGTTTTACTGTACACTTGTACCTCATCTAATATTTGCCTTTGTGATGAAGCCTGTAGGGCCTGTACATACTTGATACCACAAGGACTGGGTGTGAGTAGAAAGCTGCTCTCAGCACTTTCAATGAAGCATCATCTTTAAATAAACAACTATACTGTTTGTAGAATGATAGAACATAATGGTTGGTGGGGCCTTCAAGATCCTTTAGTTCACCTGGCTGCCAAAGCAGTAACTCGCTCTTACAGCATTGCCAGGAGATGGTCGGCTAGCCTATGTTGAAAGAGCTCCGGCGAAAGGAAGTCCATCCGCTCTCAAGGCGGCCCATTCCATTGTTAAGCAACTCTTAAGGTTAGGATAGTCTTCTTGATGCTCAAATCAAATACGTTCCACCTGCAGTTTAAACCCATTGCTTCTTGTCTTATATTCTGGACAAATATGAACGCTTCTTCTGCACCTTGTTAGTGGCAGCTTTTCAGCAACTTGAATATAGTGATTGTATTTCCTTTTAGTCTTTTCTTCTCCAGACACCGCCTGCCAGCGTGTCCAAACATTCCCCGTCCATTTTATGTATGCCTCTTGTTTTCCAAAAGCAGTTGAGTTTGTCAGTTTCCTTCTCAAAATCCAATCATCTTCTTTTCATGATCCCATAATCCCTTGCGAGGTAGAGTCTGGGCAAATGAATAGGGCTGAGTGTTTACTGGCCGGATGACCTTCCTGTCGCCAGTGCGGAGTTATATTCGGTAGATAGATTCTCATCGTGCCCAGAGAGAGAAATATCTGCCTCTACCTAGGATCAAACTCCAAATGCAATGCCAGAATAGAATTTATTGTTCTAGAACAGTCTGGCCAAAGGATAACCGAAAGGAAACCTGGAGACTTTCCAATGGAGACTGGACAGCCATTTGTCTGGAATGGCATAGGCCAGTGGTGGCTAACCTTTTTGGGCTCCTGTGCCAAAAATTGTGCATGTGCTTGCAAGCTCGCACTTGTGTGCCAGCACCCAGAAGGCAATGCGCGTGCCCCCACACACACGCAATCCCCACCCACCCACCCCTGCCGCTTGAGGAAGGCTTCTGCAGGCTTTGTAGGCCGAAAACTAGGCCCGTTTCGTCACTTCTGGTGTTTTCAGAAAAAACAGGAAGTGACAAAACAGGGCTAGTTTTTGGCCTGCAGAAGCCTTCTTCAGGCCTCTGGTAACAACCGTGTTACTAACTTAACAACTACAGATTCACTTAACAACTTGGGCATAAAGGTCTTAAAATGGGGCAAAACGCATTTAACAATTGTCTCGCTTAGCAGTGGAAATTTTGTGCTCAGTTGTGGTCATAAATCAAGGGACTACCTTGTAGTCACGGTTTCTAACTTCTTGTCTAGGTCATTTGTAAATAAGCCCATGAAGTAGACCAGGCCAGGAAGTCAACGCCACAGGGAGAAAATCAATAAAGCTACAGACATAAATCTTTTGCAAGTCTGTGCCGTAAATCATCTCCATCCTGTTCTAGTCCAGCGAATTAGGGAAGTACCTACCTGAGCTGCTTCCATACGTTACCCCATTGCTTTGGACTTTAGCCTGGAGTTGCCAGTGCTGCTCCACTTTTTCCAGCTTCACGTGGACCGACTGAAGGTATGACTGTCCTTGCCCAAGGCATGATTATTCAGCCAGCCCTGCTGTGCCATCCGATAGGCCAGTCCAGCCTACCTTTGCCATTTTCTCTGCTGGAGTCACACGAGTTGGATGCCTTCCAAAAATTAAAACACGTTGAGCGTGCTGCATTCCTGGGTCAGCTCAACTGGTGACTATCAAAAAAGGAGATCAGGTTGGTTTGGCAGGATTTACTCTTTGTAAACCCCTGCTGGCTTTTGCCAAGCAATGCATTCTTCCCCCAGTGTACACAAGCCAACTGTTTAGTCATCGGTTCCAGAATTTTGGCCAGGATTCACATCAGGCAGGATGGTGCTTTGCTGTCCATTCTCCCCCCCCCCCCCCCTTTTGAAAGGGGGGGAAGCCTTCGCCTTCTCTGAACTTCTGATGCTCCAGTCTTGCATGGTTCCTCCGCTGCACCAGGAAGTCCTCCAAGACAGCACCCCCAAGTCCCTTTGTGCCTCTTGGGTGGATCTGATTTTGGAGGCCGCAATCTCAACCTCTCTTTACTGCCATTTCTTTACCACTCCCTCCTTTGGGTCACCATCCTACTTAGAGCCCTTTGAATGCAACTCCCCCCATAGGAGAAGCCAGAAGCCACATAGGAACTGGGCCCTCTCCCCACCTGGCCTTCCACCTCTTAGCAGCTGCCCACCCCTCCCTCCCCCTGGTTTTGCCACCCCTAGAGCCAAAAGGGGCTTTTATTACTTTTGGCTTCCCTTGTGAGCTCTGCTCCTTTGGCTCTTAAAGGGCTCCCACTTCCTGCATTAGCTGCTGTCTGACAGGCATCCTTTCTGGGATTGACACCCGTCTCCCTTGTCCCTTTGGTCAAAAGCTCCCTGGGCATCTTGGGTGGGTTCCTGAGCTGCTTTTTCCCTCCTTTTAGTTCTGAGTTCTCTTGCACTTCCTTTATCTGAGAGATTTTGTCTGTGAGATTCTGCCTAGGATTTCTCTAAAGCTGCTGGTCTCCTGAAATCTAATGTGCGTGTACGGCTGTGCTCCGTTTTCTCACTCTGTAATACCTTGAACCCCAAGATGATGTTATTTCTGCCCAGATTTCCATGGTTTTTTCCTCTTCCGCCAGCTCTTCCTTTTGATTGGGATCAGATTGAGGAAAAGCAATGCCCTTGTCTTCTCTCTCTCTGCCTTCTGGAAGACAAAAGTCAGCAAGACCACGGAGGAACTGAAAGACTTTGCAATCATGCATAAGCTAGTTTTTGAGCAGATGTGCAAATAATTGAAATCTCAGTCCCTCTCTCGCTGTCTCTCCCCTCCCCGCTCCTTCTGAAAGTTCTGTCTTTTGTCCATTGTGCAGGCCTTCTATTTGACTTTGTGGTTGCTAGCACATTGTCACAATTGTTTTGTCTCCCCTTCCTTATATTTTTACCCAAATCCCTTTGAATACGTTCTTACCTTTAAATTACTGGAACTTGGAATAGGTGTATTTCCTTCACATTTAATGTTAATTTCTTCTCTGCACGTTGAAGGCACTGTACAATTTTATAAACAAAAGATACATTTCTTGTAATTCTGGTGCCCACTGTTGGCACTTCAAAAATAATGTAGACTAATAGAGGATGGCGAGTCAGCAGTATAGAAAACAAGTTTTATGAGAAGAAGTGAAGTAACTGTCTGGCTTAGTCTAATGAACAGAAGGCCAACGCTTTATGGGACAAATTCTTGGAGTGTCCCATGAAGACCAAGGATTTGTTAACTGGTTCTGAAAGTTGAAAAAACCTGAAGAACTTTCCATGTCTCAGGGAATCTTAACTCTGGGGCCATTTAGCCACTGCTGTCAATCATCAAGCAGAGACTGGATAGGTGCCTTCTGGAGGTGGACGAGCCGCCTGTTTTTGTGGATAAAGCTAAGAAGGACTTCCGCATCCTGCTATGCTTTACTCTATTTTTTCCTACTTGAAAGTGCTGAAATACAGTGGGGAGTGACTTGCTTGCAAAGACCATAGATTTAAATGTTTGCAAAGTAGCAGAAAACAGAAATAGAAGATTTGTGTACAAGAACTGCTAACACTGATGGTAGGATTTAAAATTCATTTTGAAAGTGTTGAACCAGCAGCGTGTCTTATTCTTTGGGGATTCTGGAAGGCTGGTTCTTAATTGAAAATTTTTAAGGGTGTTTAAAACATCATCCAGAGCAGCTCTCTTGACTGACTTGAGGAAACCCACTGTGACTTAATAAGTAATGAAAAAGTATGTTTTCCACAAGCCCTTTACACAACGGGAAAGCTTCTGAAATGGACAGATTATTAAAATAAGGTTGCACGAAGGCGTGTGGGATGATCACATTTCTTGCCTGTTTGAGGCATTGGCTTCTGTGCCTAGGAGAAAGACTGCAGAGGCAGCAGGCTTGGGCCTCAGGAATGCACTTGGCTCGTCAGCAGTTAAATGTGTTTGTCTTGACTAAACTATGTTTGATACAAGCCACGACAAGTCATCCCCCCTGCCCCCCCCAGGTTAATGGCACTACCAAAGGGGGAACAGAACTAAACCCTTTAGGAAATAAGCAGGGGAATAGGCTGGTACCCAAAGCTTTCCAAAGCAGCTGCCCGGCAGGATCACCATCAAAGCCCCAGAAATGCCCTCCTGAGAAGGTCCTCTCCAGCTGCTCCCTCTTGCAGAGTTGGGCTGCCTGGGAAGGAGGTGATGCTCTTAGAAAGAGGCTGGACAGCCAGATGTTCAGAATGGTTTAGGTATCCAAGCTTAGGGTATTTAAGACCTGTGGACTTCAACTCCCAGAATTCCCAAGCCAGCCAGGGGGACTCTGGGAGTTGAAGTTCACAGATTTTAAAGTTCTCAAGGTTGGACATCCCTGACATCGGACCTCCTGCTTGAGCGTGGGGTTGGACTAGAAGACCTCCAAGGTCCCTTCTAACTCTGTTAATTCTAGGCTCTTATAGCTGCCCTTTCCTCATCTCAAACTCTCAGCGCTGTCCAAGCGCAGAACAGCAATGCTGCCCTGGTGCTGGGCAGAAGTGCCAGTAAAAGGAAGAGGAGGCCTGGGCTGAGCAGCTTTCACTTGAATCTCCTTTTCGGCAGCACTGCTTGGAAAGATGCACTTTTTTTTGTCTGATATTTGGTGTTAAAATTTGAAAAAGCCAAACAGCTGCAGCACTAAATGATGCTGGGGAGAGAGGCATTGAGTAGATCCTGGTAAATTTCCCCAATTCTGAGCTGGACATCTTAGCTGTTGCTTTAATTTGAAATTTGTTTCCCGTACTATATGCAAGTAGTGTTTGACTTAACGACTGGCCACTTAGTGACCATTTAAAATCACAGTGGACTTTTCCCAATTCAAAGTTCCAACATCTTCTCCCCCAGGTGTGGTCAGCATGCATTTATGTGACTGTGATTTGTGATGGGGGGGGGTGTTGGTTGGCTTTTACTTCCAGTTTCCAGCAAAAAAATAAATAAAAAAATCCCACAGCCAACAATGAGTCCAGTCAACAACCACAACCATCCATTCACTTAATGACCACTGCAAAAAAAAAAGGGGGGGTCCAATTACGAGTTCACTTATGGTCATACGTTGAGGACTACCTGTATCTCACATTTCATACCAGGCTTCAGCGTGAAGGGTTCCTTCGACCAGCCCTTTTCCCCTGACTCTGGGCCCCCTGGGAGGTGGGTTGATCTGGGAGAAGCTGCCTGCTCAAAGCCCCTCAGAGGGGCTTTCTGGGTTTCCCTGCACCTGGTTCAGCAACGCCTGGCATATTTCTGCCCTGGGCCTTCTCCACTGAAGCCTTTTCTTTCCACCGATGCCTCTTATTCCACCGGATGATGCAGATCTGGTTTCATTCCTTCTTTTCATAGCTCTGGCCATGGGCCTCTGCGTGGCAATGATCGCCTTCGTCCGTCTGCCAAGCCTTAAGGTCTCCTGTCTGCTGCTATCGGGGCTATTAATTTATGATGTCTTTTGGGTGAGTTTTGGAATACACACCTGTATTTCTATATGTGTGTGTGTGTGTGTGTGTGTGTGTCTGTCTGTCTGTCTGTCTGTCTGTCTGTTACCACAAGCACAGTATTCTTCCAGCATGAGAAACTGGCTTGCAGCATTTGACATCACAAGCTGCTTTTATGGAGTGTTGTGGAATGCCTCTACAGGCGTTACGTTTCAGAATGCTTTGCATTGATCAACTGTCAAAATGCCTTTTCATTTATATAAAATGTACGTTCATTTCCCCCCCCCTCCCCCAAAAACATTCCCCTGAGGCTCTCATGTTCACTTCAGCTGGGAGAAGCACAGAAGGATCTGAAATCTTCATTAGGGGAGCTAAATATACATCTTAATGCACTTCAGCGTTTGGGAAATTAAAAGCTGCTACACGATGCGCATCATAAACCAGGCTCACCATAAAAATCTAACGTATTTTAATTCTAAACCTTTGCTCTTCTATTTATGTATTTTTTTTCTTTTCCTTTGAGCTTGAAAGACCGTATCAGGCATATCATATCAACAGCTGTGACTTCATGGAAAGCAAAGCGGCTGGAGTTTCTGGGATGGGAGCACAGCCACCCTTAAAAAAAGAGACCCCTTGACCAGCTCTTTGGTAGCTGCTACTTCACTGTGCTTGCAGCTCTAAGAGACATTCCCATCGAGTCCTTTTCCTTCCCTCTTTCCTAGAGCTTAGAGGCACGGGGGTGGGGGGTGGGGAGGCCTCCCCTTCCAAATCTCCAGGCTGAAGCAACATCAGTGATGAATGCCCAAAGAGGGCTGGGTAGATCTTCCAACGGGGACCTGTTATTTAGGGGAGAAACGCCGGGCCCAGTCTCCGCTTTGCAGAGCTGCCTTGCTGTGAAGACCTGCCTTCGTGGAAGCTGGGCTGTTTATTCTTCAGAGCTCCACAGAGGGTCGTTACAAGCTGGGCAGGCCTCCCGCTTCCTTGCTCACTGCTGACTAGTTCAGTTCTTTTATTTAAGGAAGGGCTTCCAAGTCACAGGTAGAGCTGAATGATACAAGTGGACCAAGGGGTTTAATTTCCCCACGGAAGATTCCTGTATGTCTTTCCCACCAGCAGCAAGGCGGCTCCGCAAGGCTGGCCCCTGACCCCTGCTGGGCGCATCTGCCAGCCCCGTTTTGCTTCCCTGCTGCAGGTTCCAAGTCGGCTCACGGGGAGCTCAAACTCACCCTTTCTCTCTCCCCCCCCCACCCCACCCCAGGTCTTCTTCTCTGCCTACATCTTCAACAGCAACGTCATGGTGAAAGTGGCCACCCAGCCAGCAGACAACCCCCTGGATGTTTTATCCCGGAAGCTCCACCTGGGGCCCAGCGTCGGCCGAGACGTCCCCCGCTTGTCCCTGCCTGGCAAACTTGTCTTTCCAAGGTAGGATGGTCGGGCCTCTTGGTTTCCTACTTCTCAGTCGGCTTTCAGGACATGGTTGCCCTTCCAGAAGGGGGACCCGTAGCCTTCCGTTCACCAGCCCGGCTGGCCTGGCCGGTTTGTGGCTCGTGCTGGCCAAGAGATGAGGGCTGCTTTAACGCCAGTTGCTCTTTTGCAGTTCTACCGGCAGCCATTTTTCCATGCTGGGGATCGGAGATATTGTGATGCCAGGCCTCCTGCTTTGCTTCGTGCTGCGTTACGACAACTACAAAAAACAAGCGAACGGAGATTCCTGTGGCACAGCAGGACCCGGGAACATTTCTGGCCGGATGCAAAAGGTCTCCTATTTCCACTGCACTCTCATCGGCTACTTTGTAGGTAAGAGGAAAGGGCAGCTGGAAAAGGCCGTGGCAAGTGTGGAAGGCGTTTGTGTGTGTGTGTGTGTGTGTGTGTGTGTAGAAGTGTTCATTGGATCCCTCCGTGGAAAGAAAATGCTTCTCTTACAAAACTCTTTAACGGTCTTTGTAGTATTTTCCCGAATCTCTCCCTCTCGCAAACTGGGTTTGCCATAATTTGGAGTGATTTATGATTCTTTTCCAAGGGCAAAACAAACAAAAAGGTAAGAAGTGCAAATTCTTAAAACTCTTATAGGTTGATCAAAACGTAGCTTACACACATACAGGTTGTTCTCGACTTACACCCACAATTGGCTGTGGGACATCGGTTGTTGAGAGAGTAGCCATTAAGTAAGACATCACATGACTGCTTCGCTTAACAACCGCAATGCTGGCCCTCTCAGTTGCCGTTGTTTAGCAATCTCAGGGGTCATTAAGCAGATGGAATTCCAGGTAAGGAACTCCCGGTGTGGGAGACCCTGGGCGGGACAAGCTGGAAATGCTGTGGGCAGGTTTCTCCTCTCAGACTGAAAATCCAAGCAGGATTCTCAGCCCCTGAGCAGAGACACACCTGCATGCGACCTGTGCAAGGCTTTCTTCCGCTCCCTGAAGCCCCTCCTCCCCCCCCCTTACCCTACCACCCCGCCCTTCTTCTGTGGCACTGAAAGTCTTCCTGGGTGAAATCCAAGCAGGATGTTCAGTGCTAATATGGATAATCGACCTGAGCTTGGGTTCCCAGGGTCTCCTCCACTTCTGTGAAGCACCCCCATAGGAAGCGTTGACTTTCTGCCGGGGAAACTGCCAGGGAAGATTGCAAACGGCAATCACGTGACTTACGACCATGGTCGTAAGTGCCAATGGGTTACCAAGTGCCCAGATTATAATCACTTTTGGGGGCGGAGGAGGGGGAGAGTTGGAACATTTTGTGATGGTCAGACCATAAAGCACCTTTTCTGAGGAGTTGTTTAATCTTAAACCTTGTTCAAATGACACGGTTTATGTAGAAATAGGGAGAAATGTGGAAATAGACCTATAAACCTGTATGTAGGTATGTATTTTTGTGCCTTTGAGTCAGTTTTTGGCTCCAGTGACTGCCCGGACAAGTCCTTGAGGGTTTCTTGGCAAGGTTTGCAGAAGTGGTTTGCCGTTGCTTCCTGCCTAGGGCGGAGAGGAAAGGCCCGAGGTCAGCCAGCTTATAGCCTGGTACCTTGAGCAATAGACCAGCCTCATTCTCATAAACACAATACATGCAGCGTCGATTTCTAAATAGTTTCCAAATGGGAAAGTTCAGGTGCGGAAAGAGAGCGGGGTCTTCAGATCACTGTAGAATTGGAAGAGAACTTCTCTGCCACTGTACACGCCAGGGGCTAGCCACTTCCTGCCAGCTGCCCCAGTGACTTGATTGCAGGAAGCCAGCAGGAAATTGCCCAGCCTAATGGCATTCACGTAACAGCGGCACACACAGACTGCCTGGATTGTCATTGCCAAGCGAAGCGGTCACCCTTTATGAATGCACTGTTTAATGACGGCATTCCCAGGCCCAAATTGCCATGACGGGTTGGGGAGTCCTTGTAAACTTTTTAGCCAAACTTAGAAGAGGATTTATGCTGGGCATTCCAAACAGAGTAACTGAAGAATTCATGAGGGTTGGTAGCTTAAAAGTTTTTTGTTTCGCTTTTTTTTTAACACAAGGTTTTCTAAAAGACAGGTAGTCTTTGACTATGACCACAATTGAGCGCCCCAAATTTCTGTTGTTAAGTGAGAAATTTGTTGAGTGAGTTTTGCCCCATTTTTACTTTTCTTGCCATTGTAGTTGATAAGTTAGTAACCTGGTTGTTAAGTGAATCTGACCATCTCCATGGACTTTGCCTGTCAGAAGGTCCCAGAAGGGAGTCACATGACCCTGGGACACAACAACAGCGATGACTACAAACCAGTTGCCAAGCACCTGGAGTTTGATGGTCATGGTCATGGGGGTGGTGGTGCTGCAAAGGTCGTAAGTGTGAAGTCACATCTTTCAGTGCTGTTGTAACTTTGAACGGTCACTAAATGAACTGTGGTAAGACGAGGACCACCTGTATAGCCCTGATTTTTAATTCGTTTTAAACATACACATATAGGCTGACTAGCTCATAGTATGGACTAGCAGAGGAATGTGCAGCTTTGGAGCCGTTATTAACTCTGGAAAGCTTTTTAGTTTTTAATTGGCTGCCTGGGGGATTCTGGGAATCGACGTCCACAAATCTTAAAGTTGCCGGGATTAGAGATCTCTGGTTTGCAGATCAATCTGTTTGGAAATGGGTAGCAGAGCAGAGCCAGCAAAGACACATTGTCCTCCTCTGCCCCAGGCCTTCTAGAGGTAGTAGATTTCTCCAGGGGTTGAATCTGCTGAGTTAAAACAAGACATCTTCTAGCGGTGCCTTTTCTCGCCTCCTTCGCAGGGCTCTTGACAGCAACCGTGGCGTCTCGCATCCACCGGGCAGCCCAGCCGGCTCTGCTGTACCTGGTGCCCTTTACCTTGCTCCCCCTCCTCACTATGGCCTACTTAAAGGTAAGTGCGGCAAGATGAAGACCAGCTCTGGGTTGCCCCCCTTGGAGCAGGGGTCTCCAGCCGTGGCGGCTTTAAGACTCGTGGGCGTCTACTCGCTGGCTGAGGAACTCTGGGACTTGAAGTCCACAAGTCCTAAAAGTTGCCACAGTTGGGGACCCCCGCTTTGGAGAGCCTGACCTGTAGCCTCAGAACAGAGGCAGCTAATTCCTAGAAGGGCCTCTCCGAACACTACGGTTCCTGCTCAAAAAAACAAAAACAAAGAAATAATGAACTCTTGCCCTGAAAGGGCTGCCATGTTAAATCAGTTTTTGTTTCTACTTTTAAGTTTTAAATCGACCTGCCTGCAATTGCTTGAGACTGCCCACTGCCTGAAAACTAAACTCCTCGACCAATGCATGCATGTTAAAAATGTCTTTACTTCCTTCTTGAATCTTTTGTCGGGATGGCCTGCAGCAGCACTACGGTGAGCAGGTAGCCCTCCACTTACCCCTGGTTGTTTCAAGACCATTCAGGTGGCCTTGGCCTGGCTAAGGATAAGTACTGCGTGACGAGCTCTTGTTTTTGCCCCGGCTCCGGCCCACCCAGCAGTTCAAAAGCATGCAAGTGCGAGTAGATACTACTCAATAGATACTACTTTGATGGTAATATCGTTCCGTGTGCCTTGGGATATATATATTAGTCATGCTGGCAGCATGGCCACGGAAGCGTCTTTGGACAGTGCTGGCTCCCTCAGCTAAGAAACGGAGATGAGCCCTGTGCCCTAGAGTCAGAATCAACTGGACGGGGGAAACTTTTACCTGCTTTAAAAAAAAAAACTTTGGAAAGAGTGCTGTTGTAAAATGTCAAAGTCACACTATCATCTACTGGGTGCTTGTCAAATTGGCCTATGCTTACAACTGATTGCAGTCTTCTGTGGTCATTGGGCTGCAATTTGTGCTGTTTTTTTGCCCGTTTCCAACAACAATTAAAAAAGTCTATTCAGGAGAACGGATTTGAACTTAACAACTATATTTTCCTCCTAACAACTGCCATAAAAACAAACTAAAATTGAGCCCGGTCACATGGATGCCTAGGCATACGACCATCATAGCTCACAATTAATTTCTGGTCACAATTGTAAGGACCACTAATATAATACTAAAAGCCAGTACAAGAAAACGTCATTAATTCAGAATTGTAAGCTGCCTTTAGGGCCGTTCCAGACAAAACCTACCTGGGCAAAACATGATACAGTGAAGCCTCGTTTGAACAGAGGGGTGTCCATTAAAGAACTGGTGTAAGTCATTGGGGATTACAAGATTGGTGTTTTTATCTCATTGGTGTCAATGTATACAAATGCATGATTGATACAAAAGATATAAAATGCTACAGATGTAATTATGCACATTGGTCAAATTACATGGACTGACCGAGTTTGGAAATGAGAGACTGGAGACTAAAATATTGTCCGTTCCACCTGAAGTTTCTAAAAGGAAGGCAGCTGGAGAACGGATCTTTCATGTGTGCGGTCCTGGGGCTCACTCCCTGCAGGTAGTCCTGGCTTAGCTGCCACCCGCTCAGCAAATACTCAGAGCTACCACCGTGCGGGATGAGGAGAGGTAACAACCTGCCCTCGAAGAGCATCCCCAGGGTCACCTAATCACGGTTTTGGTGCTCCAGACAAGCGAAGTCAGTGGGGAAGCTGGCAGGAAGTTACAAGTCACAAGCATCATCGTGCATGATTTGCTTAGTAACTAGAAGGGACATTTTACGTTCGACATAGTCATGCCATTTTCCACTTTACAACCTTAGCAATTAGCAGTGGGGTTGCTGTTTCCGATGTCAGTCGTTAACCGAGGATTACCTGTACTTCTTGCACCCAGAGGTATCACTTTGCATGCTGTCACTCTAAACGAAGCAGTACGGCTTCACCATGGAGCAACATGAACCGCAGGGCCCAAAATATAAAGAAAGGCTTTGAAAGGCAAAATACACCAGTGTTGTTGTTGTTGTGAGGCGTTTGGGGCCGTTTCCTTAGAACAAACCTGGTTTTTTGGGGGGATGGCAGTTGAGAATAAGCCATTCCTGATGCCTCCCATGGCAGCGTGTGCTTTTTTTCTGCTCCGTCTGGAGCCCATGAGATGTTGGCTAAAACGGCCCTTCAGATAATCGGTCCCCAACCATTTCCTCCCGGAGGTTCACGCTAGCACTTTGTGTGGGGCCTTGAAATGCATGGATTGCCTCTGCAGCGGCTCCCGACTTCTGCCCCGCCAGCCTTTCTTCAGAGGACTTCTGTGAAAATACTTCGTAGCAGACCAGGAATTATCAGGGCAGTAATCAAATATACATTTGAACTCTTGGCAAGAAATGCAGTGACTTTAGAAAGAGACGGGGCCTGGGGGGAACTTCAACCTTCCTTAGTCCTTCTTGACTAGTAGGCTTCACCCTGGTGTTCTTCTGAGCCATCTCTGAGGGGTTGGTGTCCCTCTTGAACAGTCCTATTCTCCTTTCTGAAGGAGCAGCAGCGCCGGTCAGTGGTGGGAGGGGAGAGTTTGTGGACCTTTCCTCTTTCCCTTCCTTCCTTAGACTCAGACTAACTTCCTTGGCACTTTGAATGGACACTAATCGGCAATACATTAAAATGAGATTTCATTGCATGCGGCTCTCAGAGGGTGACCACTTCCAATATACACTACATAATCGTGACTACATACATACAAAATTATGCGTATGCCCACATATATCCTTCCTTGCTAACCTCCAGCTGCTGCGGGGGAGGCATCCGTGACTCCTATCCTAGGTAGTCCTGGGCCAAAGACCTCGAGCCTTAAAAACAGCCCCTTCCTGGGAGGGGAAGGAACAGGTTCCTTCTGGACCCCACCCGGATGGAGCAGCTTTGAGTTTGTGTGTGCCAAACGTCTAGACGAACCCAACTTTGATTCTGGATAAAAGAGTTGCACCTCAGTTCAGAAGAAGCTTTTTGCTATTCGCGAGCGTCCCTGGACTCACATGGCCCGCTCAGTTGGCAGGGGACAACCATGGCCAGGTTTCACACTGTGATATTTTGTGTGCCAATTGTAACCGTTCTGGATTGGGGCAGCCTTGCTCACAGTCACCCGGCCCTGGTCTCTTCCTGTTGGGCGGCTGTGAGGTGCTCCTTGGAGGGCTGTTCTTGAACACTCAGAAGTTTCAGCTTTGCAGAACGCTGGGAGTTGGGGGCTTCTTAAAGTTGCACCAGTTGAAAAATCCAGTCCTAAGTGATGGTCACGGGTAGTAACCAAGGGCTGCATGTGGGTATGTGCAGAATGGGGGACTTGTGCCCTCCCATGGAGTCTCAGCCCGCTGTGTTTCTCTAGGCTTCAAGCAAAGCTGTTGAGGCCCCTTTGCTTCCTTGAGCACAGGAAGGGCAAAAGAGCTGCAGTTGTGCACTTTCCAGTTTAATTTTTTATTTGTGTTTTATGTATTTTGGTTACTTAATTTTCCTCCAGGTATTTTTATTGATGAAAAGATTGACATCTCTCCCCATCGCCTTGGGGATTGGGCAGTTTAAAAAAGCAGTAAATAAAAGAACTAGCAATCTCTAATTCTCCACTCTCTATAGATCCAGTATTTGATCACTACTCCATTCATTGGATCTTACTTATTTATTATTAAATTTATATGCTGCTCATCGTGTTGAGAGGCTTGATTTTTCTGCCCATTCCTTGCCTGTTTTGACTTTTCAACTGGGATCGTTAGTTCCTGTTGTTGGTTACAAGCCATAGGAGCTGAGCTGCTCTGCCGTCTCCCTGCACCTGTTTCTATCTCCTCATGGTTGAGATGTGAGAAAATGGCCCCTCCTCCCCTTTTCTGCTGGCCCGGTCCAAATGCACCTTCGCCTGGGGCCCTGAGTGCCTTTTGGACTTCCTTTTTGATCACGCCCATCCTCCATTTCCTCCCATTCTTGGAGGAGAAGGAGTCTTTCTGGGTGTCCATCACGTTTTCCGAAGATTCCCCCCCTCTACTTCTTTCTTTGAACAAGGGGGGCCGTCCTACTGCGATCTTAGTTTTGGGGTGGCTCCTCTTGCCTTCCAGGGTCTTTGTGGGTGGGAGCCCCCTGGCTCACCTGGCCCAGGAGTCTCCCCTCTCTTGCCCCTGATTCGGAAAGACTCCACGGTGCTGCTCTGCTCTTTCCTCCCTTCCTGGCCAGGTCCTTTCAGAGGGGAGCATGCAATAAAGCTCCCTCGGCCTTCCCCTCCCGCCCAGAGTGATCCCTCGCGGCACCTCCGATTCCGCATCCTTTGTGTCCTGTGAAGGACGGCTTAGCTCCAGCCATCGCAGCACCCGGACAGTCACGGGACCGTGATCTGTGCCCTGGGCAGCTAGCTGACACTTAGGATGGTTGCAGCATCACCACGGCTGCGTGATCACCTGCTGGCTTCCCACAAGCACAGTCAAGGGGAAAGCCACAAGTCCTTCCATTTTAAATCCCCCCCGCCCAGCGGTATCCCCCCCCAAGCCCCGCCCTGCTTGCACCACACCGACCCCTTGTGTGCCTCCCCCCTGCCCCTCCTCCCCCTGGCAGCAGCCATGTGCCTACCAGCCAGCCTGCTTGCAAGCCGACAACTTCCTGTCAAGCTTGACTTTGAGTGTTGGATGCTGGCAGGAAGCTATGATGAGGTCCTCGCTTAATGACCCACAAACCTTGCTTAACAACAGCAGTGGGGACTGCTGGGGTTGTTGTTGCTAAATGACGTCCCACTTCATGACTTCAGTGCTTAGCGATGGAAATTCCAGCCCCGCTTAGCTCCACTAACTGAAAGCTTCCTGTAGCGGGGAAAGGAGATTTGTCAGTGAGAATCTTGCATCTCGTCCTGATAGGTGTGGCCAGAGAGGCAGAGCCCATTTCTCCGATCACTGCTTCTCTCCCTCTGAGGAGAGGGTCTCCCTCCTCACCACCGGTTATGGCCTCTTCCTCAGAGTAGAAAGCTCTGCAAAACCCCTTTGCCCAACCTTGGAAGTTTGTGGCAGCTGCTCTTTCTTTCCTGCTTTCCTCAAAGTTTCTGGATGGGAAGGGAAATGTTTTCAAAGAAAAAACCCCAAGAAAGTCCAGTTGCCTTTTGGAAAAGCACTTCTGGGACACCCTGGAATGTCTTCTGAAGCGCGGAGAGAGTGAAGAGTTTTTCTTGAGAGCGTGGGCCATGGCGGCACCGTCTTCCTCTTGGGGCCTCCTCTTGTTTTGTTTCTAGAAGCATCCTTGTAACTCCTGCCTGTTTGTCTGTCTGTCAGCATTTCCTGAGTCTGTTTGAAGATCCCAAGATAACAGCTGGCAGTGGACCCTTTGCCTCCAGCACAGGTGTATCTATCTGCACTTCCCCTGCAGGTGGCTTTTGGGGTTTCTTGGAAGAGAACGGGCACAGCGCCTGCCTTTCCAGGTCCCAGGGGCAGCTCCCCACCTCAGCTGACCCCTCAGGTGAACAGTGACCCCAAGGCAAAGGTGAGCCTTGCTGCCTAGGGAGCCGCTCTTACCTGCCTCCTCAAGTAGGCCAGCAGCAGTATCAGCAGCAGCAGCCCTGCTCCCAGGGGCATTCAAGCAGTGAGAAAGGCAGTCAAGAGCGGCCACCGGCCTCTGCCAGGCCCACAGGAAGCAGGGCTCCAACGTACACACGGAGAGCAAGGAAGCAGGAGCATCAGCCAGCAGTCAGTCTGCTCTGCTTATTTGAAGTCCCCGCTAGACTCTTGCTTGCTTGGGTTTTACACACAGCAATAGCCCTTCGACTCCTGTGCCGCTTCGCAGTGCTTTCCAGCCCTCTCTGAGCAGTTTACAGAGTCAGCCTATTTGCCCCCAACAATCTGGGTCCTCATTTGACCCACCTGGGAAGGAGGAAAGGCCGAGTCGACCTGGAGCCAGTCAGGATCAAACTGCCGAACTGCTGGTAGCTGGCAGTCAGCAGAATTAGCCTGCAGTACTGCAATCTAACCACTGTACGATCATCAGATCATTTAACTCAAATTAATATAGTTTAGTGAAATGTGTATGCCACCCTTCTTGCTTGTAAGGTGACCCTTGGCAGATTACAAGCAGTAAAAAGATAGAGAAACAATTCAAATTACAATTTCAACTCTGTATGAGAACCTATATAATGACTTCAGCATGATAGGACAGTATTCTTCAGGTTGGGTGACGTCACTGAGAAGGCCCTGTTTTGAGCAGGAGTGGGGTCTCCCATTGGGTTATGACATTATTCAGGAACTCGGCTGAGCGCTCGTCTCTTGGGAGTCAGTGCCTCCAATGGGGGCCAGAAGGAAGTGGGGTTGGTGTGTGTGTGTGTGTGTTGCGCCCGCGCACCTGGGTTCAGCAGAAAAACACCTTCAATGGCGAGAGTTTTCCAATGCTCGTACCGTCCTCAATGCTTGCCTATCATTGAGCCCACAGTTACACTCATAAGTTGTGATGGTGGTTATGAAATTTGACCCAATTTTTACCACCATTTTTTGCAGCAGTTGTTAAGCGAGACCATTATTATGGGTCTTTTCTCTCTCCCTCTCTTGCTGAAAACTGGAAATAAATGCCAATTTCTGGCAAAAGAAGCCATAAATTGTGGCCACGTGACTGCAGGATGCCACAGACGGCCATACATATGGGCTGGTGGCTCAGCATAGAGAGCGTGGTCAGAGTCTGCAGTGGGAGGCCTGGCAGAACATTATATCTGGATCATAAGCTTTTTTGGGGGTGGGGTGGGGTCCATCATTAATGGTAACGAAGCAACCGGTCATAAGTAGAGGACTATTTGCTGGCTTTTAATTTTTATAGGGAAATGCGTCCATGGTGGAAAGCAGGTAATAGTTTTTCCTCTCTTAAACCAATTTTTTTTCCAGGAAATTCTTCTAATGAAAGGAGGTGCTAGGATTACATTTATGTAACGCAAGCAGGGAGTCCAGAGGTCATTTGTCCAGCTGAAGATTCTCCACCCCCCAAAAAGCATCCCTGCCTGCCTGCCTGCAATGACAGTCCCCAGAATTCCCCCCACTTCCAGCACTGGGCCCCCTACCACGTCAGCAATGGACAACCCTGAATAAGGATTCGCACCTCGCTCTTTGTATAAGTGGGGCAAAGCCGCCTCCCTTCAAACTGCAGGTCGTGTGGTGACCAGCTCTGAGCTGAGGGCCTATACTGGACCAGGATCTGGTTTTTTTTAAAAATATATATATATATATATATATAAAAATGATGCTACATTTCAGTGGTTGGAACTTAGATGGCCTAGTATTTGAACATCTTTTTAACATTTACATTTTGTTGTGTTTTACTAAACTGGGTGAAATGTTTATATATATACAGGATATATTCCTGGTCCACGCATGATACACCACACGCTAAGTAACTATCCGATCTCTTCGGCAGGGCGATCTGCGCCGCATGTGGTCGGAGCCGTTCCATTCGAAGTCCAGCAGCTCACGGTTCTTGGAGGTATGATGGAGCAGACGAACAGCGGCCAAACCTCTGCCCGGTCGGTTTTTTCACTCACAGCTTGCTTGCTGGTGCCTGAGGCTGGGCTGGTACTTAGGAGCATCGCCAGTTTGTGGAACTTGTACAGATGGACTTGCTGTATTTCCAGGAGGAGGAGGAGGAGGAGGAGGAGGAGGAGCTGCCTCCCTTCCTCCTTGTGACTGGAGACCCCTTGCCGGGCTCCCTTCTCCTCCCGGCCCCCCCCTCCTGTTTACAACTCAGTGCCAGACCATCCGCTGTTCTTGAGGGGGGGGGAAGAGGAGGAAGCTTGGGACAGCAACACCCCCCCCCACCCCCACCCCCGCTGAGTCATTGTGGAACTTGTGAACACTACAAGGAAAAATGGCCACAGCACTTGGGAGTTTCCTGGAAAACCCCACCAGTACTTTGGACCCTGTTTTTCTGTTGGACTCCAGTTTCGGAAAGAACTGAATTTCTTCTCTCACCGTACTCTTCCTCCCCGCGCCTTCCATTGATTTTCTCCTGTGGTGTGAGGTGACCTATGACACCCTCAGACATCGATTGACTCCTTGCAGTTATTACACCAGATTAAAAACTTAGTTGTATCAAGTTCCATTTCCACCCTGATCTCATAATGCAGTGAATAAGAGCACCCCCCACCGAGACACACACACACACACACTCCAACACTCCTCCTCCTTTTATACATCCCTACAGGCATATGCGCATATAGCATTGTATGTGTGTGTGAACCGACACAAAACACAGACCCCCCACCCCACCCCACCCCGCAAGGGTAAACTCTGCTGGGATCATGCTTTGTAGCTGAGAGGGGCTTGCTGTAATTTTGAGCATGTAGAGCAGTTGACAATGGCTTTCTTGTATATGGATCTGCAAACAGCCCCATGCCGCTCCCTGTTCCTTCCCTCGAGCGACGCTTCCAGCTTCCTCTTCTTTTAAAGGCGGTGTATGTTGTACTGGATTTTAGGGGATTTTCTTTTTGGTTTGCAATCAATGTAGCAAACTTAGGGGAGGAAGAAAGACCGAGCCGTTTCCTTCCTGCCCCGTTTTTTGTTTGTGAGTTTGTTTTTTTACAACTTGTCCATTACAGTTTTTAGTAGCTCTCTTCTTGACTTAATGCATGTATTATAGCAGCTGTTGTCTCCGTGTGTTCTGATCATAGTAATGTATGACTTGTAAATACATTTTTTTCTATTTTCTATTTTTTTGGTAATTTCTTTTGCATTGTTTCATTAGTGTGTTGTATTTCTCCCCATTACCCAGTGTTTAAAAGTTGGGGGACCTCACCCTCTGCTGTTGTGATGGTCAACATTTATGATGACTACTTTGTACCTGGGAGTCTCTTAAAAACAAGGACTTTTCTAAACAAATTGTCCGGGTTCTGTTGTGTTAACTGTGACAGATCAACGGTTTCAAAGTTTCCCGGCATAATTTCCTTCTGATCAAAAGTTTCTGGTTTTCTATTTGAAAGGTCTGTGCCTGTAAAATCTCCAATCCCAGAAGGTTCCAGGCCTTTCCCAGGCTTGCTTTTAAGGAGTTGGACCCGAGATGGTTGATTACCCTTCAGTCACCCATGGATAGTCCTCTCCTGGCATGCAGCTAGTCCTCATTGTTCCCTTTCTGTGTTCCTCCAGCAAGTTCCATGTGGCCTTCACGTCCAATGTGAGAGCTTCCTGGAAGCGTCTGGTTTAGGCGCCTGCAGGAGGTGGCGTTGTGGCCCCCGCTCATCTGATCCAATGGACTTCCTCCGGGTCTCCACTTGAGGAGGCACCTTGAGAAAAGTGGCACACAATTCTTCATTGAGGGAACCCCACAGCTTTCCTCCAGAAGTCGGGGGCTCCATCCCGGGAGGTTTTTTCAAAGAACCGGTTGGCCAGCCATTTTTCTGGAATGGAGAGGAGGGAAAGGGGTTCAACCGTGGGAACTTTTAAGACTTACGCTCTTCAACTCCCAGAATTCCCCAGCCAGCATAGTCTTCAAGTTCCAAGACTGGACCCCGCAGTATAAGGTCTCCTGCCTGAGCAAGGGTTGCACTGAAAGACCTGCCAAGTCAGGTCGGGTATTCTGTGTATTTCACCTTTTCTCCGTCATGGAACTGCAGGCCACCCTACTTCCGTCCAGACTCTGGCCCCTCTCAGGGCGGCTTGACTTCTAAAGATGGCTGCTTCTGTTGTCTTTACATGCGCTCAAGATCGAGGGGTATGTTCGGAGCAGGGGGCTCCAACCTTGGCAACTTTAAGACTTGGGGACTTCAACTCCCAGAATTCCCAAGCCAGTGAACACTGGCTGAGGAATTCCGGGAGTTGAGGTCCCCAAGTCTTAAAGCTGCCAAGGTTGGAAATTCCTGGTCTGGAGCATGCTGAAAATGTTCTTGTCTTTTATTTCCAAACAAATCCAGGACTTCTGTAATTGCCAGACAAAACTAGCTCTTGTTCCATGCATCGGAGACTCACAGTTTATCTTGGTTTAGTTGACCGATTGGAGCCGATCCTAAGAATCCCTGCATGTTTCTCGCGCTCGAACTCATCAGGCCGACCTCCGCTGTGTCTTGATATTTGCCCGCCTTAAACCTGTTCCTCAAGCAGTTTTACTATTTGAAGAGCACAGACCTTTGGAGAAGGAGCCACCTTGGAAGGAAAGTTAATTTTGCATTTGTTCAGGTCACAGGGCGGCGGGAATTCCCTCCCAAATACAGAGCCTCTTAAAAAGCTCCCCTTAGGAGCCGGGGTGCATTTGCAGAGGCAGCAGCAACGAAGACGACACTGGCAAGGTTGCTCAGAGGCGCCAGATTTTTTAAATGAAGGGAACGAAACCCTTCTCTGAATTCTGGTCCACTAGTTTTGCATACTGGGTTTTTGCACTACACCTCCTCCCCCCCCCCCCCCCCCCCCCGACCCACAAACTCCTGACTGGCCTTGACTTTGGAAAATCCTTACTGAAACCCCCCATTTCTTGGCAGTTGAAAGTCCTTGTCACTTTCAATCATTTTTCAATTCCGGGAGATCGTTTTCTTGTTCTCAGTGATAGTGATGTAATCACTCGTCTTAAAATCAGTTTTGGTGCTCCTAGGAGAATGTACCCATTTGCATGGAGAATTGCTGTAAATTGCAGGTTATGGGAGAATGTGAGGAACGTTTTGAAGCCATGATAACCGTGGGTTGGGCTTCCCTTGTCTGGCTCTAGAGGGCTGGGAATTGGCAGGCAGGAAGCACATCTGGCCTGATGAGCCAGGCCCCCGTGGAAGGGTCTGGAAGAAGCGGGGAAGCCTCTACAGGACCCGGGTCTCGCGGTGTCAGTCTGCATTCCTCCTGGAGGGCCTTGCGATGCTCTGCGATGGGTTAAGAGTGACTGGGATTTTCAGCTGCGCAAGCAGTGCATATGTGGTGTTTATTTTGCTCTGCTCAGACCATGCCTTTCTATAAAATATTCCCAATGTATGCATATTTTTAAACCATACTTTTTAGAAGTCATATTTTTACAAGTCCGTTAAAAAGCAGCTCCAAAGTGGATGCTATACTTGTACTATAATTAACATCCCAGCATCTTATAAAGTATATATTAATTTGTGCTTGTGGCTCTAATTTATTTAATGAGATGTGTCGAAATTATATGTCATTGAGGCACTGATGATCAGTGTCTGGTTTCTTCAAATCCATTTAAAATGGTTTAGTTTTTGATCCCTTAAAAGAGAAAAGAGGGAGGGAAAATTATTATACAGGCGGTTGATGCTAGGTTGTGTTATATCAAATTACACATTTTACTTTCTATTTAAAACTGTTCTCGTTTTCTGCTTTGAATTGGCTCCGTGGGAGGAAACAGTGCCTCACTTCATGTTCTCCCACTGCGGCTGTAAAATGACTAGAAACCGGCGGAGTTTTTGTTAGGCAAGGTTCATGCCTTTTTCGACCATAGTTTCAGCAGGGACTTGAGCTTGTACGGAGGCCCAGAGTAGCAGAAGGCTGTTCTCAGAAGGTGCGGAGTGGAGGGCCTTTTCCTACACAAAGCTGACCGGGGGCACGTGCAGATGCCAGCTGGGGTGGGCAGCGCTGGAGCCGGTGGAGGTGGCTCTGCTAAGCCCTGCCAGTTGGAGACACCTGAGTGGCCAGGAACCTGTCGGTGTCTCCTCCTTGTCTGGATTGAGTCCCTGTTGGTTGGCTCTTGCTCAGTCCTTTGCCCGGCCCAAGCATGGCTTCAGGTGCCGGCTCTGCCAGCCTCTCCGAAGAATCCCAGGGTGGCTGGACAGGTGGCCACGGAGAGGCCCAGAAGGTCTAACAAGATCGTGGTCCCTGGTTTTTCCCCCCCATCCCAGGTTATCCCACAAAGCACCAAGGAGAGTTTATGCTCAGCAGCTCTCCAACTCCTGCTGTACAAGGGGTTGCCTGGACGCGGATGTATCCAGAACCGAGGAAGATTCTGCCGGAGGACCTTCTAAGGAGGAGGAGCAGAAGGACGTTTTGTTCACTTGCTTAAACATTTTGTTGAATAATTTTTCATGCAGAAGCGCATACTCTTTCTTTCCTTTTCCTGTGTTGTAACTGTTCAGGTAGCCCTTAAGCTGAATTCGGGTTGCTAAGCAATGCCGTCATTAAGCAAATCATTATGTGACCAGACCCAATTTTATGACTATTTTTTACCTCAGTTAAATCAAAAATCATGGTCATTAGGTGAATTACGATCGTTTTGGGAATCCAGCTTCCCTGATTGGCTGCTTTCCGGCTGGGAAGGTGGCAAACTGATCGCAAGATGCCACAACCGTTGTAATGCGAGCACCCCAGTTGTGAGCACGTGACCACAAAGCTGATGTAATAGTTGTAACTTCAAAGTAAGTCTTAAAAAGCAAGGCCCAACATCGAACCTCCTGGACTCCATAGGAAGATCCCACGCTTGTGCTACTTCTCTAGTATCCTGGAATGGTGCATTTTTTAAAGCTTTCTTTTTATCCTCATCTTGAAGACTGACTTTGCCTGCAATATCTTTTATGATGTTTTAAACAGTTATTATGGGAGTTGCATACTGCTTCAGTGGCAACCCTTTCCAAGAAATATATACCTTAAATCACTATCCAAAGTTAAAAAGACTAAGGAAAGTTCATCTTATTGCACCGAGGAAACGCACTACAACACGCACATCTTATGGCCATTTGCCTCCAGAACCGCCTTTAGCTTCCAGGAGGCCTCCCAGGGCAGCCCCTTATAGAGTGTATTGCAGTAATCCAACCAAGGGAGAAGTAAGGCATGACGACAGAGCAACAGATCTCCAGGCGCAGAGCCAAGACGCAGTTAAGCAAGAGCCCCCCCAGCCGCCATTGCCCCCACTCCTTCGGGCAGAGGCCACGAATCCAACCGGTGATCCTGGTTCACCAGTTCCAAAGGAGAGTGTGCAGCCCTTCCATAAGCGAGGGTAGAATCTCCCTGGACTCCGATAGTCTTGGGATCCCAAACAATTCCATCTTACTGGATTCCGACTTCTGGTCACTCCTCTGTGGCTTCAGGCCAAGATACCCAGCTGAATATTGGCCTACTGATGCGCTGTCAAGAAATAAACCTGCCACGCTTCACGTGGAGGAGTTGCACATTGCAGCCACCCACAACTGAAGGGCTCCCCTTCTCCCTCTGCCATTTGCTGGGTTTACCTTAGTGGAAGGACAAGCACGCTTTAAAATGTGCCACCGGTTCCCAAACACAGGCGACGGCCCAGACCGAGGCTGTGCTTCAATCAAAGGCTGCTGAAAACTCCAGGAGGGACACAGGTTATCAAAAAAATATGGGTATGGTTTCACAAATCAACTGAAACTCTATGTCCTCCAGAGTTACCGACCCACAATCTACTCAAGAACTTTCACTAGGAATGAAGCCTCAGAGGCTGGTTGGTAATTCTCCAAATCCGACCGAGTGATTGGACAAGGCGAGCAGTTCCACTGATCAGAAAAGGCAGGGATCCTGCCCAAGAGAGAGGGTGGAATTGGTGTCCTGGAGGATCAAGATCTACTTCCTCAGAGCAACAATTGCAGGTTCATCCCAGGTAACTTCACAAGAGGTTTTCTTCACCTCAACTGGTATCTCAGGTAGCATCTTAACTCTGGATGCCAGATGCTCAACAGATGTTCTTCGGAGCCCTCGTTCTCCTTTGGGGAGATGGACTGATCAACATTCATCAGGCTGTGATACCTGACTTGTCAGCGTTCCCCAAATTCAAACTGCG